TGTGGGGGGGGGGGGGGGGGTGCTTTTCACTCGCCTCATAGTTCGGGGCGACCTGTGACAATGAGACTGTCACAGGTCGGCTCAATAGATCGGGAAGTGAGAGAACACATACCGGCGCTCGCTCACTTCTCAATCCTGGAACTGCAGAGAGCCGTGACAGGGGAAGGACTGGAATCCCCCTGCTCCGATCCTCCAGCGCTGACAGGCGGAACGGACGGGGGAGGGTACAGCTGGCTCTGCCTCTAGATAGGCAGAGCCAGCTGTCAGTCACGCAGCTGGGCGGATCCAGACACAACTGTCGGGATCCGCTTCAGCTGCGGCGTCTCAGTATACCGCGAGCAGGAGCTCGCGGTATACTGTGGCGTCTCAGTATACGGCGAGCTACAACTTGCGGTATACTGAGCCTAGGGTGACAGGAGGACGCTAGTTTCTGTCCTCCTGTTACCCTAAGGAGAACTATGGGGAAAAGCCTTAACCCCATAGTTCTCCTTTTAAAAAGTGTAGTGCCTTACAGATGTCTGTGTGCTTTCAGTTGCATGGTGCCAAGTTGTCATTTAAAGGCTGACTAAAGCAAAAAAATATTGCATTGGGGTAAATATATGTGGCTGTTGTCTGTAAGCAAAGTGTTTAGTGTACAAATTTATTTTTTAATTTCACGTGCCTTTATTTAAATCTTTCTCCATATTGCACATAGACCAATTAAACTTTTTCCAAAAGGACAAACGTTTTGGCTGTAAAGGCTTTAATAGTGTTGGCTGGCATTAATGTGTGTGTCCCTTTCTTAAAAGAGAAGTATTAGAAGAGTAAAATATCATATATTTAGAGCCATTGTGGGACATAGCAGCTATCACACGTTGGCTCTGTATACCAAGAGCTGAGTGATCATGTAACTGCTGATCGCTCAGCTCATGGTCTCCTCCCTGTCAGTCACCGCGCCCTGCAGGGATTCCCCTCTCCATTCATCCAGTGCTCAGTGAAGGAACAGACAGAGGAGGGGTTGGGTACAGTTAGCTCTGGCTCTAGAGAGGCAAAACCAGCTGTCAATTAGGCAGTTGGCTGGCTCCCAAACAATGTTGTCAGGATCCTTCCAGGCTTTGGCACAATGCTGCACTATCAGCATATAGCGGGCAGAGCTAGCTCTGGCACTAGAGAGGTAGAACCAACTGTCAATTAGGCAGCTGGCTGGATCCTTCGTGGCTGCGGTGCGGCTATGCTCTGTCAGCATATAGTGGGCAGTAGCCCGCTATATGCTGACTTTGGGTCACAGGAGTACATTATTAAATAGTCTTGTGACCCAAAAGAGAAGTTAAACCCCCAAAAAAGTTAGGCTTTACTTCTCTTTTAAAATTGGTTTAAAACTACATGTCCATCTACGACTATCCTGTCTACAGCTTGACAATGCTGCTGTGTGATATCACTGCATAATGAACCTTGTTAAAGGAAGTTGAGATAAAAAGGATCTACTGGCGGGATCAACAAATAATGAAGCAATGTTAAAACGAGGACTCAGAGGAACATAAACTGTTGTGCTGATGTTGGTGACTTGGATGTTGCCTGTAGCTCCACTTTAAGAAAAGCAGTTATCAGCAGCAGAAATGAGCTGTATTGATTGATTGACATTCAGCAATTTCCTGTAAATGCAGTGATGATGTGACACACCAAAGGAATGGAATCAGACAAGCCATGTTCCCGTTTCCTGAACACCCATTGATGCCTTATGTACTGGAGACGCTTATATCCATAGTCATAATATCAGTATTGCTTTTTTCTGTCCACACTGGGTTTGTGGGCGGGTGGTTGTTCGCTGTAGAACTACTTCTCTTTCCATACAAGTCTGTGAGTAAGCAAACTCAGCTGAAACAGGTCAAATGCAACTGCAATTCTGAATGATCTCAGAAGTGCCTCAAACTGCCCATCAAAGCCCATTGACACAGGCCCTTAGTCTATGTGACGCATCTGGCACATGGGTACTGGCACTGGGTGCCTCCAGCTGTGCAGTCATTACTCGGTTTGCATATCTGGATTATACTGCTTGTTTACTTTAAAGCTCCTCCATCCACCCCCCCCAACCCAATCAACATGCTATTTACATTTTTAAATTAGATCTTTCCCTTTTAAAGGAGAACTATGGGGTTAAGTCTTTTCCCCATAGTTCTTCTTAGGGTAACGGGAGGACACAAACTAGCGTCCTCCCGTCACCCTAGGCTCAGTATACCACGAGCTGTGACAATTGTGCCGGGATCTGCCCAGCTGCGTGACTGACAGCTGGCTCTGCCCATCTAGAGGCAGAGCCAGCTGTACCCGCCCCGTCCGTTCCACCAATCAGTGCTGGCGGTTCGGAGCGGTGAGGGGGTAATCCAGCCCCTCACCTGTCACTGCAGAGAGCCGTGACAGGATCGAGAGGTGAGCAAACGCCGGTATGTGTTCGCTCACCTCCCGATCTACTGAGCCGATCTGTGACAGTTTCATTGTCACAGGTCGGCTAGAACTATGAGGTGAGTGAAAAGCACTCCTCATAGTTCTCCTTGAATTACTTCATGTAAAATCCAGTTGCATCATCCCTGGGTTTCTGTGCTTCCCTGAGCAATCCAGGCAGGTCATGCCGGCAGGATGCTATATACATAGCTTCCTGAAAACATCACAGAACCCTGCCTCACTAATCCTATCACAAGCCCTCTTCCCTGATGCAAGCAGTCAGCTGACTTCTGGAGGAGTTATGTAAATATCAAAATTCCTTGATGGGTGGGTGTACCTAGACAGACTGCATTTGCATGCACACTGCCCCCAGGTAACACCCAAATCGGATGCTGAGCTTCCATAAAAATACTGAAGTCCTCTTAATGAAAGGAGCTGGCCAGAGCCATTAAGGCTGTGGAGGAAAGAGCTAGATGATTCTGAGTGTCCCCTAGCCAGCAAATGAGGCAGGCTCTATCTGACTTGTTGCAGCTTCTAATGTACATTGTGAGCAGCTCAAGGTGTGCAGTGAAATCAAAATAATCTGTTCAGTACAGAAGAGGAGCCGGAACGACTGTGGAAGACTGTAGGGAAGGCCGGAGATCAGTAAAATGATACATTGACCAGACAGATTTTGAATACATATTTACAAAGTTATTTTGCATCCACCAGCCGACTTCTCTGAAGAAGACATTGCAGTGCTTGGAAGGCATTCACCTGAGTCAGTCCGGTGCAGTGTTGATGTTATATATAGACAAGCTGCTGTGTACCCCATTCCGTGTGCTGGCTCGCATGGTGGATACACTGGCCTGTCGTCGGGTGGAAATGCTGTTGGCGGCTCAGGTACGTAACATCCATTCCACAGGATATAACACTGTTTCATGTCTTCCTTGTTAATTGTGTATGACAGATATTTTGTATCATTACAGAATAGCATGTCTCAGTTACCTCTAGAAGAGTTGGATAGGATACAAGAGTATCTGCAGAGCAGTGGCTTAGCACAAAGGTAAAAGAAAATGCTCAGTGTATTGCTATTTATTTCCATGATAACCTCAGAAATCCGGGTTTGTGTTATTAATCGCCTACCTACCCAATCTTTCCCTTACCTTTTCTCTTTTACCCTATTCCTAATTTTTTTCCCCTCCCCTGCTCTTTACCCCTCCATCCCTCCTTTTTTAATTATTATTTTTGTCTCGTTTTCTCCTTGTTTCTCGGTCCGCTTTTCTTCCTTTTTTTTCTCTCTTTTTCACACTTCTTTTTTCTTTGTTCCTCTTTTGTTTTACTTTTTCTTCCTCTTTCCCTTGCTCTCCTCCTTCTCTCCCTCTCCTCTTTTACTTGCTTTTCTTGTTTATATATTTTCTTGCAATAAATTGATTTTTTTTTAATATGCTAATTTTGTTTGAACAACATTTATGTGATCATATGGTCTCTCAGCTGATCTCTGATGTGTATCCAAGTGGGAACCTGTTGTTTCTTCCTCTCCTTCTCTCTCCCTCTCTCCTCCTTTTCTCTTCTCCCTCTCTCCTCCTCCTTTTCTCGTCTCCCTCTCTCTCTCCTCCTTTTCTCGTCTCCCTCTCTCTCTCCTCCTTTTCTCGTCTCCCTCTCTCTCTCCTCCTTTTCTCGTCTCTCTCTCTCTCTCTCTCTCTCTCTCTCTCTCTCTCTCTCTCCTC